GCGCAGTGAGTTTTCAGTCACTCCAATACATGATTCTTTTGATAAAGCTATTGTGGGTTGAGATTTGGCATGTGTGAGGACAATGGTCAATCCCTGTGATGTGCCCTCTGTCTCTGCATTTTGTAGTTGCCGTTCTTTTGTCATTCTTCATGAAGATGATGTACTTGCTTGTCTAATCATCATGCACAGAATAAATCACCAGAGCCTTCGTCTTGCTTGTATCTTACTGTGTGATGACATAGTTCAATTTTGTTGTAATTTGTAAAACAGCTTTTGGAATTTGGTTGATCTACATCAATCCTATGATGTCACTACCTTATTATGAATTTTGGATGCTTCTTTCAGGTCAGCTTTGGAAGGTGAGTGTGGATTCCTTGCCGCTAACCTTTATGCAAAGAGTGTGTTTGGAGAGGACGCTTTGGTGAATGTCAGCATGAGAAACAGGCAGATGGTAAGTTGAGTGGTTATATTAGAATAAGAAGCAAGACTCAAGGAATTGCTCTCAGCCTGGGGACAAAATCACTCTTAAGCAGAAGGGAGGTAGCTGAATTCTGGATGCACTGTTAGTCTTAGTGCCGTAATAGTGGTATGTAACTATCTATGGCCAACCCCCCCCCCTCCTCCTCCTTCCTCCAACACAAAAAAAAAATAAAAAAATCCTTCTTTCCTTCTTTTCCCTCTCCCCTTCCAGTCCCCCTTTTAGTATTTCTTTATGAATGTTAGTGCATCTTCTTTTTTCAGTTTTTTGTAGTGTGTACCTTGGAGAATATGAAGGGGAAAGAGTAGAACTGTTCTTCTGTGTCATTTCATGTTGGCAAGGAATGCCTTGAAACCATAATGAAAAAGTCACGGGATTATCTTTTAATTTGTGGCTGTACAATCTTCAGGTTCACAAGTTTGGATGAAATCATTGGGGCTCTTTCAACACATTTCCTGGCTGCTGCAAAGAGTAAACGCAGAATATCAGTGTCAGTGTTCTTGCATTGAGTCCTTCAAATGCTCGAAACCGTATTAGATTGCATCTATTTTTGTAGAGTATATTGGAGAGAAGAAAGAATGGCGGACTTTGCTACCTTGACTCATCTAGAGAATTCATTGTCAATTTTCTTTTTACGCTTTGAGATCGGATTGGATTCAGGAATTCTTATCTTTTTCCCCTTCTTTTTTACTTAAATTGTATTTTTTGTCTTTTGGGCGGAATGAATTTGTTACTTTTGTTATGAATACCATGGTACGATACATCTCTATTTCCATATGAAGCAAAACTTTGTCAGAAACAAGAAGTAAATGGTTCTTATTGCTTAAAAAAGTGGCCTGTTTGTGTGGTCGAATTAGGCCTGCAATCAAAGGTCTAATTGTCAGACTTTAGTCTTGCGCCTTCTGTTTTGGTTTTCAGCTTGTGTTAAAATTGACCGCAGCACGCTGATGGACGTCAATCAATGATCAACAACAAGGTACAATCAAGTTTTTCTATAATTTATAAGCCCACAGTATCCTGTAGTATTCATGGTAAATGTAGATCGAGCAACACGGCACGCCATAAGAGCATTTTATTGATCTACCCTTTATAAAGCAATTAAACTCTTTAGATGTTTCTGTGCACATACTAAATCAACAGCGTCTACGTGACCAAAAATGAAATACACTTTCCCTGTTAAAATCTGACATGAATGCTGCTTATTGTCGGCTGGGAACCCATGGCTTTGTTTACAACACTTTTAGCCATACGATGTCTCTTCTAATTAGTTAGTAGAAAAGCACGAGGAGAGTGTTACTGATTTGGTTCTCTTTATGCAGACAGGAAAAGCTTCAAAAATGAAAACTTAACCCCCATCACATACAACATTTCATTTGATGATCTCATTGCCTTCCCTTCCCATGCAAGAAAGGAAAGAAAAGGAATTGAAAATGGGGAACAATGTAAGATCAACCGCAGAAGATAAATATGCGGTGGTGTCTACTGTCTATAAGTCCATGAATTATGACCTGCCAAACCAGATCATGCTAGTGTGCTAACAAATTTATAACATCTACTTGCGGTATAGTACAGCGGTGTATCAAGTACTTCTTCGATGACATTAATAAAATGTAGCTTTTGTAAGGTGCATCAGACTCTAATATACTCTTTATAGATGTCAGATTTATTGTAATGCAGGAGATAAAGCTCCAGTCTTCTGGCTTTCCATTCCAGTTACGCAATTAACAAGAAAGAAAGACCTTATGCAGTACATCCTTTGCCATATTTCTCACATCCTGCCCTTGATCCCAACCAGAAGTTCCACCACCTTGACTCTTGGAGTCGAATAAAACAGCTCACTGATAATGCTTGTCAACAGCATGAGAGAGATAAAGAGCATGACCTATGGGGCCATTATGACAGGTTCATCCACTAGAAAGAAGTTTCTGCTCATCCAAAATTTTTCCTTCCGAGTTCCCCCATCCAAGCAGATATGAGAATTCAGCCATTGCCACATTGCAACTCCTATCACTTTGCAAGCAGTAATCTAAACTGCTGGCATCATAAAGCCTTCCCCATCCATCCTGAATGCAACTGCACACCCATCACAGAAAACACAAATTTCAGCAACAATCATCCCCCTCCCCTGGCCCCTTTTATCATCCAGAATAGCAGCAAAAGAATCAACCAGTTGTATGCTTTTAGGAAATAACAGCAATTCAATTCTTATAATATTCTGAAGCTTGAGATATCAAATTTGGTTTGTTCTTTTGGAACAGTTTACTCAAAGTTATTCCATAAATTGTAGGAAAACGACTTATAACTTCACATACACTTCATGACCCTATGAATAGGAGAGTCCGAGAAGTTTCAATAGCAAGAATTGAAATAAGAGGATCTTGAAATTCAAATACCCAAACAACAAAAAAGCCTCTAATTTCATGTCTACAGGATACCCCCGGTTCATGCATCCAGTTCACCCGTTTTTGCCAAAAGAATGTCTGAAATGAGGTCCAATAACAAGTAATCAGCTTGAATTCAAGCCTTGGTATCCCTCATCCCTACCCATTGCGACAGGTGCTAAAATACACAGCAGAGCCAAACAAAAGGTTTGGCTGAACAAAACTAAGTGTGGCGAACTCCATACAGAATGCAGCATGAAGTGACGTACAAACTCTGGAACTCATCTCTATATAATTACCTAATGCTGAAAAGAAAAAATCATATTTGAAAACAAATATGCTTAAACTCAACCACAGCAACTGAAGCACGTGTGTTACATTTTAAGATCCCAACTTCATGATTTTGCCAAGTCTACAAAAGGAAGACTCACATTGCTGTCCTCTTCTAGGTTAAGAGGTATCCTATCATCAGCCACTCAACGATCTACCAATGGCAGCTTTCAGTGATCACACGTGCTTTGCATCTTATGCCTTTCTTCTATAGTCGTGTTAGTTTCCTCTGACTGCAACCACAATTAAAATAACTTATTTCCCAGATACTACAAGATTAAAAAGTATCATAAATCTTGTTGGCTTTGTACATTCTTGAACTAGTATACCCTTCATAAAGTAAATTTTAGAAAAGCAACACTAAAAGTAAACTTGTACTGGGTAAGCAAAGCATACAGAGAACAGAAAACTAAAACGTTTCTTGGGGCCAATTCTTTTTTTCGCACCCAAAATTTAGCAAGGAAAGCAAAGTTGCTTGAAAGGGGAACAGAAACGGACACACAAATTATTAGAATCAAGTGACACCTGAACTTTGAGCACCATCTCCAACATGCTCTCAATCTGTGACTTGTGTGGCAAAAGAATTTGGTGCATCTTAACATCTCCATGCATTAGTAGTAACACAGTAACAATAACATTCGACCTACTTGATTGGCTGATTTTGGATGTACTATGATGAGGGGACAATAATAAGAGGTATTGTCTGTTATCAGTGATCTCATTGAAGTTAAAAAAAGATCTAACAGTTTGGTACTCCTATCAAACAGGAAAAAACAAGGTAGGAGGTAGTAGTGGCTCTTGTTTGTGCTCAAGTAGACTTTGGATTCACCTCATGCATGTGCTTACTCTGCATAAGTAAACCAAAACAGAAGATATCAGAGAACTCAGACCATAACTGAAGGGTGCATATTAAGAAAATTCAAACATGAGAGAATCCAAAAAGAAAAAAAAAGATTGTTATAGTTTCTGAACATAATCATAGCCCAACATGTTTGAATTTGGCCTCAATGTAGCTTAGAAGTCTTAGATGCTATGGCTAGGGATAAGATTTAACTACTAATGCAGTAGTGATCTTGTTGCAACTGATTCAGTGAAGAGTTTAACTGAGTGTTTACTGTTCTGTGTGTGTAAGACTCAGCTTAATTGACATATACAATATCATCTGCTTTCTAATACCTTAAGCTTTTGGACGAGGTGATGCTTCAACATGCTGGAAAATGAGACAAAGATCCAGGCCCAATTTTACATACCACCCATTATGATATATGCATGTGTGCATTCACCAAAAACCCTAGTCGAGTTTTGAGTTTAGTTTAGAGTTGAACTAAGAACAACCATGGAAAGAACACATGACGACTGATCGTATCGTATGTGGCCAACGTCATGTAGAACCAAGAATTATCCCTGTTTGCACTGATTAATCATGTTTAATATGGATGATGTTTGTTAAATTACAGCTTATGTATGTATGCATTTCATGTATCATTACACTATAACTTGTGTGACAAATAAAATAAGTTGGAATTCTGTGTGTATTCTATTTCATGCATAATAAGAGATGATTCTAATTAACTTAGTTCATGCAATAACTAAGGAAGTTGTCTCTCTTCAGTAAGTATTTAACCAACGTCTTCCAGCAGATTATCCAGGGAAGCACTCCAAAGAAGTCTGAAATTCAGTAAGATAGACTGTCTGTTTTGAAGGTTTGACAAGCACAAGAATTAACAAACAAGAATGTTTTACAAAGGACGAATTAAACATCTTCAGGTACTCATAAACAGGAAGAACTGAAAAGTTTTCTTATAAAACAATCAAGAACAAGAATCAAAAACAGAATATCACTTACAGATGCAACATTTATCAAGTATTTACAGAGGACATTGCTTAATTTGATAACACTCCGTTCAGAGAACCTTGTGGGTTTGGTGTCCAAGGTGACGAACACCCTGAGAAATGCACAGATGTTGTCTAATGGCAGTTTCAGTGACTGAAAAAAGGGAGCAAAAAAATCAATGACAGTTGTATAGATCAACTAAGTTTCACAAAAAATGCCAGAGAATAATAAGAACAGCTGAGCTTAAACCAAAGTAATTAAACAAATGCAAGTTAAAAGATGAGACATACAGAGAATCAAATTCATCATATAAAATTTAGCCAGATTACCATCTCATCAAGAATTTTTTTTCCAAAGTTTGGAGAACAAGATGGTCATCCCCAATTTGAGATAGACAAGAGCAAATAACTCTGGTAATTGTTCTAAAGGTAGCTTGATTTGAGATTCCTTCATATCCCAGAGAGGAACAGTTTTCTGTAAAGGAACACAAGTTTCAGCTATCAAGTAAGACAAACAAGAGATTAGTCAGCATTGACCTTGAACTATTGACAATAACATCCTAAAAAGAACCTATGTAAAACACACAAAAAAAAAAGCAGAGGCACACTAAAGAATTTTACGAAACCCTACTTCAGGAAAAAAGGGAAAAAACAGAGAGAGAGAGAAAGAGAGAGACTTCAAGAAGATAGTGGAAACAAAAAGGGCCTACTCTCCCATCCCAAGAAACATTACTAAAGAAAGTAGAATTCTTTTCCAACCTTTAAAAAAAAGTGAGAGGGGAGTCACATACACAGAAACAATGAGTACAAGAGTGAAACAAACATACAGAAGGATCATGGTCAAAATCAGCTAATGTGATAGCACCAAAGAGTTAATCATCCTGATCCTGAAAAGTGACTATTTGATGTGAATCTATAGAAGGCACTTTTGAAATGTCAATCCGGACGGTTATCTTGATATTATCGCCTAAAATGGGTCACAGTGGTTGAAACAGTAGGTTATGTTGAATATTCCAATTGACAGCAAACATTAATTTAGTATGGCCACAAACATTAAGAACATGGCCACAAAGGCAAAGTCTCAGGATTGTCAATGTTTTTTGTCCAGGTTTACATATCTCTGAAAATGCACCAAGCAGGGTTCGTATTTGCCAACAAGATAACGAGTAAGGGTTGGTCAAAATAAATAAAAGAGCTAAACAATACTAGCATTTCTACTTTGGAATCATGGAAACACTTTTGCAACCAAAAGATCAAACCAGGAGAGAAAATTGTAAGAGCAAAAGCACCATGGCATATGGACAAGCAGCTAACAATTGAAAGATCAAAGAAACAGAAATCCTACAACATAGAGATGAAGGATCTGGTTTCTCTTGCAAAGACTAGTAAAAGGAAGAAGCAATAAATTCAAAAGATACCTGGTGAGACTCTGAAACGTGAAAGTAAAGTGATGAGGAAACTAATATAATCTGCACTCAGATATTTCCAGCTTTGCAGACTGAGTGGAGAACCTCTATTATCCGAAAAAGTAAAAATGGCTCCATATTTTGACCTGCAGTAATGTGGTGTAGTTGGAGCTAACAACTACAACATCATTTTGAAGAGAAGAATAGCAACAGATAGCAGCCAGTGGAAACATCAACAACAACATATTTCAGTTCAAAGTTTCTCTAGCTCAATTGATATTCCACTTCTCCTCCTCTTTTTAATGTTTTATTTTTTGGGCAAATGAGTAAAGCTAAGTACTTTAGCTGTCTCATTCTGCACATGGTCTCAATATTTGTCCAAGGTGATTAATCCATGAAATTTACAGAAGCAACATAAGTGTGGTCTATAACAATGATTGGTGGGATTCTGTACTTAAAATACAGTACTCACAATAGAAAACCGTAACTTAGCGACTTATTGTACACTCCTAAATTGTATGATTTCTGTATTCTGCAATTATCTCCCTTAAAAGTTTCACCAAATATTTCGAGAACCTAGATACTGATATCTCAAAGAACCTCAAGAGCATATATCCCTATTTGAAGATTCAGAACCAAAGCTATAAAATATTAATCAGAGGAAGTATCTGGATTGAACAGTAGATTACAACTGTGACAATGTTATACTAAATAGGGAGTCTAAACCTTGCAGCAAAGCACAACCCCATGTTTAACTGTAAATTTGGGTTGATATTAGCTAGAAGCCTTTGTAGCAAGGATGGACATCAAGAGATTCACACACACACAAAAACAAAAACCATCGCCAAGTATCAGACATTATCTTACTTACTTAAGCAACACAATACCAATGACTGAAGCAGCATTGGTTTCAGGGAGGAGAAGTAATACAGACAACACAGAGAAAGTTCCTGGATATCCTGAGGTAGACTCGTGAATGGCCCATAGAATATACTTCCTGCAATAGAACAAAGATGTTGATCTATGGATGTTTAAAATGGAGGAAAGAGAGAACCAGAACAAGAAATTTAATCCTTACCATCATCTAAGTGTGTGCTATAAAAACTGCAAGTTTGCATTGCATTTGATCATACTCCTGACTGAACGAAAAGCTCAATTTAGCAGCCTTTCCATAAGTAGCAGAAGTCGCAACACAGCCTGCAAGAATATATCTTAGTGGTAAAAGTTAAAGTTGAAAATCAGTACATATTATACAATTGAAGAATGGATGATGAGACTTTGATAGCTCTCGAACAGCTTAAAGCAAGAAAAGAAAGCATAAACTACAAAAATATACCTTTGAACATAAGGGGTTCTTATCACCTAAGACCAGTAGCAGTTGAGGAAGCTCCCTAATCCAAATGAGCTGATAGTCTAGCAATTCAGGATCTCCTGCAACCAAGTATAGCCAGCCCTTTTCCTATCAATCAGCATAACATTTATGTCAGTGGAATTTGATGTAGAGCCATAAAAAAATCTGCCAATTCAACAATAGTGCCCCCTCGCCCCCCCCCCCCGGGGGGGGGTGTTGGATCAGGTGCCCAAGTGAAACTCCAACTTGACTCCAAGGTTAGAAGAGAAATGAAAAATTACAAAAAAGGACAGAGAAGAGGAGCTATATTAGTATGATGTGAACTCAAGAATGACAAATATTTTCCAAAAAGCAAATATTGAAATCTTACAGGATCAACCACATCTCCAAGTGCAGAAAGGCAAGCCAATTTCATAGAAGACTCTGGCCCACAGTTCTTAAAAACCTCAGTGAATGCCTGCAAAAACAGTGCCGGATGTTAAAACCAACAATTAAGGACATTCTGCTTTTTTAAAGATCAGTGCTGTCCACAATAACTACAGTTCACAAAAGCTCAAAGAGAGTAGTTTATTAAGATAGAGAACTGAAGTGAAGGTAAGTTGTGAATATGCACTTTCTCAGTCATACTAACTAAAGGTTTCAAACGAAATCTGCAAACCTGTAAAATACGAGATCGCCATGCACCTGAAACTTGCATAAAAATCTTTGGAATGAACGGTACAAGCGGAAGCAAGTGCTTCTCACGGAACACTCTCGATTGTGGGCAATTGGATAACTGCAGGGAAACACATCGTACATCAAATACAGCATAATCAAATACTATTGATTCCAAACACACCAGCAACATCCATTACGATTTCAACTCTAATTTATTAAAGAATTCAATACAACGAAAATATGAATAAAACCCAAAAACTCTTGAGTGCATATAAAAGGATGGAAGTGAAGAAACATGATATCCCACAGATAGTGTGATAGCTACAGCTATAAGCAGAGTACTGAAACACAGGGTCTTCAAGAATGTCTTCCTATTCAATCCATAATTGAATCTTCTGATAAGTAAATCAATAAAAAGATTATGCATGGGGATATGCTATTCAATCAGTATACAATACATAAGGCTAATTGCCAAAGCCGATTATGTTTCACTTTAGAAATTACATTTATTAACCTACAAAATCAAAGACAGCCAGTGGAACTATTTCATGGCATACTTCAGATAAAAGCTTTTTTTGCTTTTAAAAAAAAGTTGATATAATTACAAGGATAAGAAGTGAAAAAGTAACAATAGATGAATTGATTGTAGTATTCAGCTTGACTTCATCTCAGTCGTGATGGCACAATCAAAACATGCAAATGTCATGTGGAAAACATCAAACAGATTATATAAGAAAAGTCCAAGCAAAGGACCTTTTCAATTAAAGAACTTTCAATGAACCCCAGGAACTTCTCCAACAAAGAGGAGGAGGATAACTCCACTCCCTTAGCTGCAAAAATATGTCGCTAATTATGGCATTTAGTGCAAGATCGGTCATCATCCTGCAGTAAGAAAACTCAACATGTGAGAGTAATTATGCCATGCAAAAAATTTTAGGCTAAAAGCGCAAAACCTATGCATGCTCTAACATCTAGGAGAAACTAACTAGGAAAAGCAACAAGAACACTATAAATCCAGGTCAGGAAATCAACTCTACAAACTACAATGTATAAGGGATGACGGACACCAGAGAGAAATCACACCTTATCTGAATTGCGATGAATTAGATTTAGAGGAACAACTCCCACAACTTCTTAAATATTGCAGGTGACATAAAGTGATCTAATATGTCTGCATCAGGTCCTCTTTCATAAAGAGAAGGAACATACTGCCAACTTTTTTCGCCTTTGTTCATTTCAAAAGCAAAGAATTTGACCACAATATCTATGCTTTGAAGAATGAATAGCACACAATCAAAGGATTGCACATCCAATAATTGCATAGTATTGTTCGATGACATGAAATCCACGAAACAACTAACTAGAATTGGGAGAATATCTTTCAACTTCTCAATAATGCCCGAACGACCTAAAAATAATAGATAAAACAGAGGATCGTGTAAACAATCTCCTCATAACATTGAGATATAATCAGAATATTTGAAAACGACAAAGGAAAGGAGAATACAATTTGTTAAAATTGTATGAAATATGAATTGGATCAGAAGAGTACTGGTTGTGCTTTGCCTCCATGCCTTTATAACAACTTTTATTTTTAGAACAACTTAAATCAACAGTAAGATAACATTTACAATATTTAAAATAAAATATCTTGCCTGGTGGCGTGCACAAAACATGGCTAGGCAGGGATTACACAAGTGTAATGGTATGCCACTGAAGTATCAAAGCTTTATGCTCTAGTTTTTCTCCTCAAAGTTGAGCAAGGTCAACTTAAAAAACAACAAAGAGTTAATATCAAGATTTATTTGGAATTGAAAAACTTTATAGGATGACAGAAAACATGACATCTTTTCATGGGCAATATATTAATAAAACAAAAGGACTTTTCTGAGGGTGGAAGTAAAAAGAAGGTATTGTTGTCATACTGGCATCAACCTAGAAAAGCGAATACTCAAAGTCCTTGTGTGCATTTTTGTTGATTACAGTCTAAAGAGTATAGTAACACATTTTCCCTTCTCCTAAATCTTATTCTTTATCTAAGAAATTTGTCCTTTGAAAGCATGAGCTTGTGTAACCATTTCAAAAATTTAGTGACTTCCAGAAACCTTTGCTTTCAAGAATTTCAACAATCTAGGCACAACTATAGTTTTTCTGTAAATACACTTCGACATTACTCTTGAGATGACCCAAAGAGCTTATAGTTTCTATGCAGGTTTATCACAAGCATCAATATAACCAATATGCAACAGGTTCCATCACATGCCATTAGAGCCTTTCAAGTTTTAGATCATACGTTCAAAAAACTTTAAGCTTTAACCTCCAGAATTGCATGCCTATAAGTTTTGAATAATACATAATTAGTGCTCTTCTTAAGGACACACCACAACCAGTAAAACTTTTTAGTACTGTTCCTTAACATTTTGATGGTAAACAAAAGGTCAATCTCCAAGCAAAGGCCACACACACTTTATAAAGGCTAAACATCAAGAAAAATAACATTCCACTTACCAGAACAATCCTCAACCAAATCAGGCTCCAATGCATGCAGAATCCATGGGAATGAACTTCCTGCAAGATTTAAGTGTAGAAAAACAATTGATGAGCACTTACTTCAAGCAAAAGTTTTTACTGCAGGATATGTAGGTACAAAGAACAACGGATAATGCCTAGAAGAAAAATGAAAAATAGCTAAGAGCACAAAAAGCCGGAGAGGATGGCAACTCTTCATCAATGCAAATCCTAATTGATGAAAATTTCTTCACTGTCTACATGGGAGTGATCAAAATTGAAGAAGCTTTTAATAAACCATCTGTTGTTTCAGTGACAATTTTCATCTTTACTCTTCTAAAATATGAAGAATCCACTACAAACAAATAGAAACCTATAAGTGAGGTGGTTGTTCTGAATAAGAGCTTTCTCATCTCAATTTAGATACGTGCTTTGTGACACAAAATTCTTATGCACTCATCTGTTGGAGACTATAACATGCCAATTTTCCAGAATCCAAAATACATTAAAATATATGGAAGTAAAGGTTGAAAACCATAAGGAACGTAAATCTGATAACCTGATGAAAACACACTATCCTAAGTCGAACTAGAAGACAAATTATAAATAAGCACAAAATAATACTCCTGGCAATAATAGAAAGGATACATTTTTCACACATGATGTCATCATCTTCTCACTACGTGGCAACAGTGTCAAGCAGTGAACTAAACCACCAAGGATGGTTTTTAGCTTGCTCTTATCCTGTAAATGAAATTGGCTCCTCTGCAGAATATCCTGATAATTCTGGAGAATCTGCAAATGAAAATACAGTTAAGAATAGCTAAAAACAGCCCTCATAGATGAAGCACAAAAAAACAAAAAAAAAAAACCTAAGGTACCAGAACAAAGTAAAAAAAAAGGGTAACTGTTAAAAAGGAATTGAAGTAGAACCATTTTTATAATCCACAGGCAATGATGGAAAACTAAATCAGATAAGGAAGTTACATCCTTCAACATCCATTTATGTAACTGCTGAATGAACAAAGATATGTTTCATCTGTTCCAGAAATCTGGACAGTATTTTACATCACTTTAGGGCAAAGAAAAAGCTAAAAGAATAGTCAGCACATAATAATGAAGATAAACTTCCAACTTCAAACGTGGTAATAACAAACATCACATAAAAATATAGCAATACATAGACATAAAAGCAATATTCACTCAAGGAAGGACAGAATAAATATCATGGACCATTAGTGCTTCATCTAAACACACTTAGCTGCTGTTATGTAGAGACTGGATATCGTCTAATTTAACAGAAAGCAGAGGAGGCGCCTGTTCAATAATTGATTTTTCCCTCTCCAATTTTTTACCCTCACCAGGGGGGAGAGAAAGTCACCAAATACAAATTTCCCCATCATTTATCTGAAATTAGTTCCTCTTGAGATTTTTTTTTTTTTTTAAAAAAAAAACGAGATACTAAAAGCAATCCTCATCCTTGATCTACAACTTGACCGAAAAAACTATGAATAAATAAATCAAAACCAAAAACTTTTTAGTAATTCCTTGATCTACAGCCTTTTTACGCGCAGTAATTTCTTGGTGTAAGCCTCGCTAGCTAGTAGCTTTCATGTCATGTTACCTTGGAAAGCCACCAAAACCAAACTCGCAGCAGTTTAAAACCGTAAACTCCAAAAAATAAGCACGTACCAGAACTGCTGGCTATCTCTCATCCCCAGCCCCCCCCCCCCCCTTTTTTTTTTCATCCTATTATTGTTTGTATTCCTGTCACTCTAACCTCAGGTGATCTTGTTTGGATTGTGATTTTTTGCAAAAAAAATATTACGTGAACAAATTTCTCAATTTTTTTTAATTTATATATATCAAATCCCTATAATTTTTGAACTCGCATGCATCAAATCGCTACTACGTTTCATTTAAAAAAAAAAAAAAAAAAACAATCTAGAGGGTCAAAATGCATATGTCTGCGTGTCTATAGAAAAGAAAAACAATTAAGGGGAAAATAAAAACCAAGACCATTACAAATTAGAGAAAACGTGGTGGCTTACCCTGTCTTCTCTTGGGATGATCATTCATACGGTCAGCTGAAGTTGCGGAACTGCTGTTGGCTGGTATGCGAGGTAGAAAAACCCCCGTCCCCCCATAATCTCCTGTCCCGTGACCAATCCTATTTCCCCCACAACCGCCTGAAAATGGAACAAACCGGTTCTCCACTACCCGATTCGCAGTAGACCGCCTCTGCCGCTCCAGAAAACTCCTTATTAGTCTTTGTTGTTCAATAAAGCGTTCTGACTGCAAAGTGCAAGACCCATCATCATCACCCAAAAAGCTGAAAAAGCAGAACCCACAAAAAGAGGACACCGAAAATGAAGGTACGACATAAAACCCGGTTCAACGTACCAGAGAAAGAACCGGGTTTGGATTGGAATTCATAAAGTGACAGGGGTAAACCGGTAGATCACCGGTCGAAAAAGCTTCATTTCTGAACCCAGTACGGACATGGTTAGTTCCAGACAGACATCCATCGCACACAAGGCACCGGACGGGTAATGAACCGGCACGGCAAACGCACTGAACCGCCGGTCTAAACCGCTGCAATAGACAACGATGAAGGAAATCCAGAAGGAACATGCAGTTACTAAACAATTTTAACCTTGGGAAAAAAAAGAAAAAAGACACTGCATGCAGGAGAAATAATTTACTCGCAAGTTTGGAGGAGGTGTGACGAAGCCATGTGATGGTGGGCTGAGTCCAGAATCTTGAGAAAAAGAGAGAGCAGCTAAGCTTTGAGAAAGGCGGTCTTCAAAGCCCATGCATGAAAGCTGCTGCTGAGCAAGAGAGTAGTTGTAGTGGTTATAGCAGGAGTAGGTTGGATGGTTAAGGTTGGAAGAGGTAATTTGATGATCAAAAGGGAAAATATCAGAGGGGAGAAGTTTCCAGAGCTCTCCATCACCATCCAATTCTTGCGGGTTTATTTGGAAATAATCGGCCATTGCTACTCTCTCCAGATGTTAGATGGTCGGAATAGCAAGAGCGCGGATAGAAACGGGTTTTGGGCGACGGGAGGGAGTGAAGAGACTACCGATCGAGTGGTGGAGAGAGTTATAAAAAAAAAAAAAAAAAAATGAAGAGAGCTGCGGTTTTAAAAACTGACGTTACATAAAGCCCTTTCCTGCTTTTGGCAGAAAGAGGAACGAAGGACGCTTCTGGTGTCGGACCATTGGCATGCTGCATTCAATATTGGAGATCAAATGAAAAAAAAAATGAAAAATGAGAAACGATTATGAAACGCTGTACAAAATGAGTCACGTGACCGCCCACTCACAGCCACCCTCACTGGGACTAAGGTGCCGTTTGGAATTAATTGGAAAAATGCATTTATAATAATATGTAAACGAATAATTTTTTAAGATAAAATGTTATATCCAAGCAAACCCAAGGAACCATTGGATGGAAAGACCTGGTACGTGTTGGGATGCGAATGCAATTTGGCAATTCCGAAATGAAATAATAAATTTATGCATGATAATGATCTGATATAATTTGCGTGATCTTTGTCTATTCATCCCCACAAGACCAACAAGTTTAAAAATACTAACTAAAATTACCATTCTCGATAGATAATTACTGCCCCTTTTGATTGATGGTAAAAGCACTTAAGTCTGATTTTTCGCGTGATAAACCTTAAAAAAAAAGGTAAAAAATACAAAAGCCCCTGTGATAAACCTAATACACAGAAAAGCCCCCCGTGGTTTCAAAATATACAACACGACTCCTCATATTTTGAACTAAATTGTAAAGGTGACGGAATCCGTTAAACTTAACGGAAATGGTCAAAATGCCCAAAATACCCTGATATAATTAAGCAAAAGACAGCTCAAAAAAATCATTTATTTTATTTTCTAAATAGAGAGAATTGAGGGTTAAGGGGTAGAATTGGTATATTTGATAAAAAATAGGTATAAAAATTTTTTTTTAGGTTCCAATAAGTCATTTCCATTAAGTTTAACGGATTCCGTCACTTTTACAATTTAGTTCAAAGCATGAGATGTCGTATTGTATATTTTGAAACTATAGGGGATTTTTCTGTGTATTAGGCTTACCACGGGGGGCTTTTTTGTTTTTAACCCAAAAAAAAAAAAAATTTCTTCCTCGTCGCTTTGAAGAGAGAGGGGGGATACAAACGCTGAATTTAAGACGGTAAAGGAAACCAACAAAAGAAAGGTTGAAACAAAACGTCCCAATAAAGAGAAGCAAATAATTATCAGACGGAGGGAAATGCTGTCACACCTGACCAATTCGACATAATTGCCGTGGCTACGCCAAGCGAAAGAGTAATATCAATAATGTAAGGCATCCAAAAATAGAAAAAGGGGAAAAATAAAAATGTACAATTCGCCCAAATCACGAGCGGGGCCCCCACAGGGGACCCACAACAATACAAATCCAAAACCTTGGCCCTTGCCCTTCCTCCTTAAAGGGCATATCTGTCAATATAAAGCCACCAACTACACTCTGCTTCTCAGATTACTAATGGCCGCCAGAGCAGCTTCTAAACTACCATCTCCTCTAGAGTTTCAACGCACCTTTGGTTAAACCATATCGATGGTAATGGTACACGTTCGTTACTGCGTACCATCACAGAGCCAATGAATGAAAACCTCCTGTTCAATTCTATAGTCTATACACAAACAAAAGCCACTCGCAATTACAAAAAAGAAAAAAGGGGGAAAAAAAAATATCCAGTTCTTGCCAGAAGCTTCCCCAACAATACATTACTCACTTATCCACCATTTATTTAACTTTATTTAAATATGGAACCTTCACCGGGGAGATTTGACGGGCCTAGCAATCGGGCCGGCCCGAGTCAAGAACCGCGGAATTAGCGGGTCGTTTACACAAGGATGGAAGGGTGCGGTGCAGCCAGCCTTCTTGGCGTTCACGCATTCCTCGCAGGCTACTTTATTACTGGCACTAGTACTACTACTTTCTTTCACGTTTCTCGTCATCGTCTCTTGGATCCTTGGAAATGAACCCGGGTCCAAACTCGGGTTCAAGTTGGGCGGCATCGGCCTCGGAGCCAAACTGGGGCCGCTGAAATTCACGGGTTGCGGCGCAGGTATGCCGTATTTCTCCCTCTGCACCTTCAAATTTTGCAGCCGATCATTTAAACCCGCCAGCTGGACCTGGGTAATCTGATCGTAGAACGGCTTGCCGAAACAATTAACTTGCAGACCGTTCATATTCACCTCCGCCTGGTTTCGCCGGAGGAGAACCACATTCTCCGGCGGAGGAGACGGCAGGAAATCATTATCCGACAAGTAGTCGCAGAAATCAACGCTGTTGGGCCTCAACTTCCGGTTCCTAGACTTTCTTGACCTCTTCAAGACGACAAGAAAGAAGCAGTCCTTCTGGCGAATGATCAAGGCGAAATTCACTTTCCCCGTGATGGGGGTCTTCCGGCGTTCCTCAGCCAGGGAACTGTGGTGGACGAGATAGATGGAGATTTGGTTGGGGGAGATTCCGATCTTCTGGCTGATCATCATCTGGAATGTCTTGAATTCCAACATTGGTTGGACACGGATGTCTCCAATGTTGATTTCCCGCTCTCCATCGTAGAATATCACCGGAAACGCAGCTCCGCCACCGCCGTCCAACATTTTTCCCCAAGGAAACCCTGTAAAATCGCAACAATTAGCTTCAAATACCAGTGGGCCGCCAAGGCCGAGGCATAAATTCCGATGCGATGTAATATGGTACTCAGAGAGACAGGAGAGATTGAGGTGAGAGAGGAAAGCCTGAGGTGACCAGGGTGGAGGGTTTTATATCGAAATCCGTAAGTACGGGGTTTTAGGGGTATTAAAGGAAATGGAATTTAAGGCGGTCGGGGCAATCTGGGAATCAGATTTATCGCAGTAGTAGAGATCTGGGACTGTGGGGCTGGGGCGCGTGAAGTAGATGATTAGATTTTTGGAAGGTAGCATAGTGTGGGTTCGAGATGGAGGAGAGAGATTGAATGTGTCATTGGTGTTTTGCTTGGGCGCCAAGTAAAAATTATGTGTCAGAGTCTGACGCGTAACAATATTCACTTTTTTGGGGGTCTTTTTGTTCCGGCTTCATGAATAAATGCCATGTCTTACCTTCACCATCTTGAATTTGCTCTAAATCCTACTTTTTTTTTGCTCTAAATCCTACTTGCTGCACCTTTTCTTCCATGAGTTCAAATAACTGAAATTTAAGAGCCTAATTGGATTGTTATTTTCTGAAGTTTTAATAGAAAAATATATTGTAAAGATTCAATATATGTAAGATAAAAAGATGATTAAAAAATATATTTACATAAAATATAGCTCTATTTGAATTCCTCAATTTTTAAAAAATAAGTTTTTTATATACAATATTATAGTAATACACAAACGAAAACAACTCCAAAAATACCACATTCAAATAAAAAAATTTTATATACACAATTACAGCAAAATTTTTGAAAAATACTTCAAAAAACAACTAATTCAAATAGAGTCAAAATTTTTTGGAGAGAAACTGCAATTTATTTTTAAGGAAAATAAAGCCCCTATTTGGATAGGAGATTATTTGAAATAATTATTGTAACAATTTTTGTATGTGTGAGATAAGAAGGTGTGTTGAAAATTATGTTTGTGATGCAAGCAAATAATTTTTTACTATCCACATCCTAATCAAAATTTAAATTAAATCTCAATAAAAATTTAGATTAAACAAAACGTTACAATCTAGAAGCATTTTATGCTGGGGATAATGTACAAAAGCTCAAAAATTATTTTAATCAATGATTAAATTGAAAAGATGATTATATATATATATTTTTTTTTATCAAGACGATAGGATTTTCATTAACTATCATCAAAGTATGCAAAGTGAGTAAAGGCTCGATCCGATATCACTTTACAACTCATGCATTTCGCATGAGTAGTTGGGATATACCCATTCCTTGTCATAATGATTGCCCGATGCTTGAGCTGCTACATCAAAACAAGGATCACAACTCTTTTCCTATTCTTAGTTGCCAAAAGCAGTACATACAAAACAATTTACTTATAGCCTGAGTATCCTCAATGATTGTACCAATCCAGTTGTTTCTGACCCCTTTGCCATGTAGCAATTGCAGCAACTCCATCATGTTTGCTATTTCGATTTCTATGGCTGACTTTTGGCAAAAGATGGCTGTTTATAGATAAGATTGCTGATAAAAAAAAATTACCGAAAAGAATGAGGAGTACGGCAAGCAAAATGCTTTCAAATTTTACAAAAAAGATCTTTATGACTCGATCAGAGGATAGTGGACTCATTAAAATAATGAACAGATTTTGTGAACAGATTTTCTAGTCTTGGCATAGTCTTTGGTTAGGATACTGGTTTATGGATGAAATACCCATAAATGTCTCATTATTAACTAATAAAAAAGCACAAACAAGTCCTCAATTTCGGCCCTAATATCTGAAATTTGGGATGCTGACAAAATTTGGAGTATCTCTTTAGTATTGTCCTACAGGTAATTGTGTGATGGGACTGCCCGCGGTCCAATTCCAATATGTATTTTAGCAAGACGACAACCAGTTAAAAACCAAAGAGAATTCTGCGGCAGCTAAGCTTTTCCAATTCCTAAAGCAGCTTTAAATGGAATGGGTCTTCAGTCAACAGATGGCCGAGGGGCAAAATATTTAGCATGTTCGGTTTCTTGGCATTATTACTACATGCAAGCTGGTAAAATTTAGAACTTTGCGTCTTCTTCTTGATTTGTTTTTGGATGAGAACTCCAAATTTCTCTTCTGCTTCTCCAAGGTTCTAAGTACCTAATGTTACATTGTGACCATAAATTCTAATACTACTACCTATTGGCTATTACTAACGAACGCTTGAAATAGATCAACAGTAGTAGTACATTCATTCTAGATTATATCATATAAACTTACTAACCTTAGATGGAATTGCGAATGTTTCTTACTCAAAATCACGAAGTTGTGTAGAGCAAGAATGCATTTCCGCCAATGTAATTGGATATTAGGGCCCTTCCAGCAGAGGTTGGTTGAGAAAATGCCAAATCGGTACAATTCAGAATTCGGCCATTGCAGAAGCTGCCCCTGCATTTGTGGCAAAATAAATAAATAAATAAATAAATAAACATCGACGTGGCATCGGAGAAGACCGTCGATTCCTTTTCTTTAGGGAGAGATTAATTGATTCGACGAGAGGGATAGTGACAGTAGTACATCCCCTTGCGTCAACTCAGGCAGGCCAAATTCCAGTTTCATTCTTTTAAATCAGATCACTAGTTTCAATTTTTTCCATCATGTCGCGTTTTCTTATTCCCTACCAACTCAAAATTCCAGTTTTTCTTATTCCCTGCCAACTTTGCCCCCATCCCACACTTCTGTATCATTACTGCTGATGATAAATTATGGCAAATACCAGCCTACCAGGGGCCCAAGGTGTGAAAGTCAAAGCATGAGAGATTAAAAGGAAAATGGTCTAAATCTTAAGAGACTAATTAAAATTGCAATTTTCCCATCAGACATTCAAAGCACTATTCTTTGTTACTATCTTGAGGAATGGATCCCATAAATTGGTATACAAAGACGTATTAACAGCCACGTATCAAGTATAAGCATCTACCGTTTTTCCAAATTCCTATTCACAGTTTTAGAAAATCCTAATTTCATCCGAAGGTCATTAACAAAAGTATTCCACTTTTCTATAGACACGGCATCGGCAAATTTAGCTTCCTTTTCAAGGCAATGTGCAACAAAAAAGCCACAATCTTTTGAAATATATTCACCGCAAATTCTGTGCATTGACATACTGGAAGTTGACTTCGTAATTGCACATGTAATTCGACAGAGGTATCTTATTAACATTAATTACTTCCAAGGTCTCCATATTTTATCCCTACAGACAAATTTCCACTCTCCTCTGCCGACTCGAGTGAAATGGATCCAAGTCCATTCATCCAATTTTTAGCAGCTTTCCAATTTGAACCTAAACTGCCCAGAAGAAGGTCTTTTCAATCCTTGCCTTGAACAACATATCAGGATACAAGTTGGCCAAGCTGGAGTCGTTGAAGTGGGCAGGTAAAAATGAAGTACAAGTGAACCAATTTATGATATAGCATTGCAAGGATCACGCAAGCATTGCAGAAGTATGAATGCTTTACCTAAATATAGTAACAATACTAAATTCTCTAAACTTCTAGATCAACTTGTTTCGACAACTGAGGCAAACAGGACACCGTTCTTGCACAGTCAAAAGACAAATTGAGTTCCATTCAAAGCAACGTGCACACTGATTTGTTCAATTAATATGTTCAGCTAGATGTTAGTCTATTTATTTGTTGCATGGAAATGTGGAAGATATATAGGAAATTTTCTTCACCTAGTCCTACTCAGCTGATTTTATATTCCAGACAACCATTTCGATTGATTTAGTCATCTTGTTTGCCGTGAGCAATTGCCACAGACTCCCAATAAAAGGACCAGAATGAAGAGAAATTTTTTATTGGCCAGACATGCATTCATTGTCTTACCTCACAGCATCCAGCAAGTGACTCGCGATGTGCTTCCTTCTGTTGGAAGGAGTAACCCAAATGGCCCTTATACCACAACTAGCAGGTACAGCTTCCTTCTCACATAAGATCTCTCCAGTGACTGAATCACACATTTCCTTGCCTTTGGCAGAGTTATTCTTTCTCACTATTTCTCTTTGGAAGCTCACTTCACCAAATTGGAGAACCACTGAATTCTCTCTTCCTCCTTTTCCATTTTGATCCTGAGACTTTTTTCCTGTTGAGCTTGAAACAATCCGATAGGCCTTCTCTATTGGTTCTGCAACTAGACAGCCAGTAACTCTTCCAGAAGATACAAACAGATACACCTGTTGGCAGTAGGAAATGCAGTAAGAAGCAAGACCAAATATGTAAAAGAAATTGAACTGAAAATGTGATGCAAAGATGTGATTTACTATTCCGTCTCTACAAAGTGAATTTTACTGAGTAATCTCTGAGCCATAGTAAGTAGTATCTGAGCAGAAAACCCATGTATAGAATATCTGTTGTTGGTCCACCATGAGTTTGTAAATACACATATTTTCTAACGGAAAGAGTAATCTGTAGAAAATTGGAAAGCTAGAAGAGCAGATATGTAGACTACACTGTAAGTAATCTGCAACTAAGTAACGAGTGTTCTGAACACCTTGCAGTGCTGATGAAATATCCACCCATCCCCAAGATCCATCTCCATCATCTTAACAACATCCTGAACCTGCCACCCACAAAGTCATCTCGTTAGTGTGATTGAGTAACTAGCAACCGAGTAGTTTCTATCAAAACCAACAGAAACTCAAAGTATTGATGTTAACCTTGCTTCTTTGAGCAGGAGGGTCATCGCTTAACACTATGATAACACGCCCAGTGTCAAGCGAAGGAACGTATATAACTCTTTCATTTCGCCACCCCTGAAAATCATAGTAATGGATGTCAGTAGATACTAATCCAAGCCAACTTCGATAAACCTAAGTTGAGTTCTAAGTTGTAAATCCGAATTCACCTTAAACTGAATGCCGTGAGTGTAATTCTTGTGAAATGTTTTGTGAACCTTTTCATCCCCTTCATCACCTTTGGCATACTTAAATCCACAAATTGTACAAGCGTGCAGCAGAAAATCAGACTGACCTAATTCCAAATAAAACTGTGCGTATTTTCTCTTTTTATTAAGAACTTTTCCAGACTTGGGCACCTCCAGTTTTGCTACCATATCCACCTCACCAAGTCTGTTTGTTGCTCCAGCTGAATCGGCATCACTCTCACTGCAGTTTGGACTCGAAATTAATCCAAAAACATCAGTATCTGTGCATAGTAAACAACGACTAAATAGATACTTTTTTGCCTTTGCTCTTTATCTGGGTTGGAATCCTTTATTCTATTATCACCATTTTCAGCTACATGGCTACAGTCAAAAGCACCCAAAAAAAAAAACTCAAAATTCAACGATTTAAATACTTATCCACTTGAGAAACATAAGCTAGTTGTCTCTAACTATTACATTTTAAAAATTCCTCATACATCAGTATCACAATCTTACAAACAAGAGTAAACCCCCAAAAAAAAAGAAAAGGAAAATTGCAGTTATCACCAGAATATTCCCGGATTTTCGTAAAAGCAGCTACGATGTCTACAACATTAAGATCAATAGCGTAAAATATATATGGACAAGGAAAAGTAAAACCTCAAAACATAGAATCCGATCAAACATTGGGTATAATCGAATATTATTAATTCAGGGAGATGGCCCAGTTGGGGTGTTCGGCAGAAGATCATAAATTAAATTAAAGCTCAATAGCTCAACGAAATTAAAAAAAAAAAAAAAAAAAAAAAAAAAAAACTAAAACAATAAGAATGCAATACCTGCCTGGGTTTCTAGCTCTGCGCTTGTAAGTAACAGTTATTTCTGGGTCTTCACAGATCTCGGCTTCGTTGGCGAATATAATAGCAGAAATCGGAGATGCGACTTTAATTTTGGCCGTAGCTGGAGAGGGCTTGAAAAATGAACTGATCTTTGATTGCATTCTTTCAGTTTTTAAATTTTTACTCTTTTTTTTACTTCTACGCTCAGATTTGTTTTGGAAACGACGGTTTCGATGAGCCTTCTGCCCTTAACGACAGGAGCTCTGTTCCTCTGCTCTGGGGTTGGGGATTCGCTTGAATTTTTATTTATTATTTTTTTTTTTTAACCAAAATTTCCCGCCATTTCACAAGGAAAAGGGTTGCTTGAGGGGTTGAGCGTCCAGGGCCCAATCTTTGAATTCATGGGCTGCTCTCATGGCCCAATCCAGTATAAATGTTTACTCCTAACACTAAAACATTCTTTTTATTAACATCTCTTAACATTACTGCATTTGTAATGCAATGTGCAGTGTTCCTTCAGCAATGATACTTATGATGATTTGAGTCAGTACAAGTATCGAGGGCAATAGCGGAATTTTCAGATCAAGTTTTAGTTAAACTTCGTAAATATTTGGAAGTGAAAAGAAATTTGTCCCAGATAGGAGTGTTCGAATTTCAGAAAAAAAAAACTGCAAATTTGGTCGATCCAACCTAGATTGGATTTCGAATTTTGGTAAAACGAAATTCGGTAAAATCAAAATATATCCAATTTTAGTGTTTGGTAAAACTGTTGAATTTTTTAAATTTTTACAATATGTATGTGTGTGTGTATATATATTATTTATATCCATACATATTACTAAATACTAATTAGTAGTAAATAGCAACTAATAATTACTTAACTACTAACCGATGACTATATAGTACTACTGACAAACTTATTGATTAGTTTAACTATTGACTATGAGTATTTGATTATTGAGTACTAACTACTATGGCTCACTGCATTACTGAATGGTTGGAGTTTGGACAGTAGAAATGGCAAGATACAATTGGATGTGTTTGGATTAACAAGATTTGAAATAAAATAATTTACTTCACAACTTCCAATCATCTTTTTACTTTCCCAATCACTTATTTATCTCGCATGCATCACATCACAAATAGTGCTACAGTAATTATCTCAAATAAATCATCCAAATAAACTCCTATCCTAATCATCCAAATGTTCACTTGTTGTTCTTTGTTTATTTAAAGTGACGATGAGTTGATAACCGATGTGCTCGTTTTTTTTTTAAATTTGTTGGAAAAAATATGGAATATTATTTTAGAGCAATAATTTTTTTAGAGAAAATTTTAAATATTTTAACTTATTATTGACATTTCGAATTTCAGATATTACCGCATTACCGATTATGTAGTGAAAATCCAATTACCAATACACAAGATATTAAATAACTTTAACCTAATTAAGGTTCTATTTGATAATTCAATTTAGCACTTAAACTTAATGGATTCAGATTTTAATATATTCAGACCATTTGATAACCAAAAATTGAATATTTGAATTAATTAAATAGTACTGATTTTTTTGATAAAACTTGCTCCCAAAATTAAGGAATAAACTATTCACTTATTGCTGAATGTGATATGCATTCAAATATATTAGATTTTATATTTAACAGTTCAATAACTCAATGCATTCAAATTTTGAGATTTCAATTTTATCAAACGCATCCTAAGACTCTACTCACTAATTCTACAAATCCAGCACACACCGATGCACAACCAAAATAAATTTAATTTAAACTAGTTATGTTTAGATTCATTTTAAAACATTGTATACTTATACATCATAAGTCATAATACTATTAACGTTAAAAAAGGGGGAAAAAAGAAGAAAAAAGTAGCTAACAAATTAAGTTATTTTTTAAATCTAAAATTTCCTAATTACAATCCCTTTCACCTCCAACCCAACCTTCCAAACTTGGTTTCTTAATTACTTGTTTAGCGTCATTCTTTATTCACTTAAAAATAATAATAAGAAAGAAGAATAATAATAATAATAAAAACTTGGGGGAGGTAAATTGTACTACATGTAGTAGTATAACTGTCTTGAGATTAAAGAGCAGTAGGGAGGATTACAATAAAACTCTAACTCAGCGCCTGCGGATCGCAGATCTGACCACAGCGCCTAATTCCGAAGGCCTTCCCCTCTTCCACCAAAACATTTGTACTTTCGTCGATTTAATTCGAAAATAGGTTTCATCCGATTTTCAGCAGTGGACGCCGCATATTTTATCCGGTAGGTGCATCACACTTCCCTTCTAATTCGTTTCGATCCACAAGATCTGTGTTCCCCCCCAATGCAATTCGCCCATATGTTTTTTGAGGTCTCTGGTTGTGGCTGGACTGGGGGTTGTTATCTATATGGAATTGACCCCTAGGGTTACTGAAATTTTGACCTATGCTATATATTATGCCAAGCCTTTTGGACTTTCAATTGAAGTCTTGAGTGGAAATTTTAGATTATTGTTGCTTCTTTAGGTGTATATCAATTCGTTATTGATATAGAAGTTTAGCTTTGAATCTGTTGCTTCTGTTCATCGACTAGTATTTTGTTATTTTTCTCGATCTAGCTCCACATCATAGCAATTTATTCGTTTCGAGTTCATTAGTTTCTTGTTATTAGATGTATACATAAATGTCTTCAGGCTTCTTATTCCAATCACATTGATCTACTTGATATGTTTATTATTGCTAGCACAAATCATGCTAAATACTGACCAAGGAATTAAAAAAGAAACCATACTAACGAGTTCAGTTTGTAATCGTTCTTTCGTCTTATGATTAGGATACATTGACCAGCTCAACACAACGCACTGGTCAAATTGGTCCCGATTTCTTTCATTCTGGACTCGCCTTGATTGTCTGCAAATCGTGAATCTGTAACCTTGAAGGATATCTTGAATTCTGGCTTGTTTTCAGGTATAATTTGAGCTAGCAATGGAGAAATCATGTTCTTTGTTGGTACACTTTGATAAGGGTACACCGGCCCTCGCGAATGAGATTAAGGAAGCCCTTGAAGGGAATGATGTTCCAGCAAAGGTTGATGCCATGAAAAAGGCTGTAATGCTTTTATTGAATGGGGAGACCCTTCCCCAGCTATTCATTACTATTATCCGGTACGTGTTGCCCTCAGAAGATCACACTATTCAGAAATTGCTGCTTCTCTATCTGGAGATCATTGACAAGACCGATGCTAAGGGGCGACTTCTACCTGAGATGATCTTGATCTGTCAGAACCTGAGGAACAATCTTCAGCATCCCAATGAGTACATTCGGGGGGTCACGCTGAGATTCCTATGCCGCCTGAATGAGGTGGAAATCATTGAGCCTTTGATCCCTTCTGTTCTGTCAAATTTGGAGCACCGACATCCATTTATCAGAAGGAATGCTATTCTTGCTGTGATGTCAATTTACAAGCTCCCGCAAGGAGAGCAGCTCTTGGCAGATGCTCCTGAGATGATTGAAAAGGTTCTCACATCCGAACAGGACCAATCGGCCAAGAGGAATGCATTTCTGATGCTGTTCAATTGTGCCCAGGATCGTGCAATTAATTACCTTTTGACTCATGTTGACAGAGTACCAGACTGGGGAGAGTTGCTTCAGATGGTAGTCCTGGAATTGGTCAGGAAAGTCTGTAGAACGAACAAGGCAGAGAAAGGGAAGTACATTAAGATTATTATCTCTCTGCTAAACGCCCCTTCTGCTGCTGTTATTTATGAATGTGCTGGAACTCTTGTTTCTTTGTCTTCTGCTCCTACAGCTATCAGGGCTGCTGCCAATACCTACTGCCAGCTTCTTCTGTCTCAGAGTGACAACAATGTCAAACTTATTGTGCTTGATCGTCTGAATGAACTGAAATCATCTCACAGGGACATTATGTTTGATTTGATAATGGATGTTCTTAGGGCACTTTCAAGCCCGAACCTTGACATTCGGAGGAAAACACTTGATATAGTTCTTGATTTGATCATGCCACGAAATGTCAATGAGGTTGTTCTCACTCTTAAGAAAGAAGTTGTGAAAACTCAAAGTGGCGAGCTGGAGAAGAATGGGGAGTACCGTCAAATGCTCATTCAAGCCATTCATTCCTGTGCTATAAAATTCCCAGAAGTTGCAAGCACTGTGGTCCACCTATTGATGGATTTCTTGGGTGACAGCAACGTTGCTTCTGCAATGGATGTGGTTGTTTTTGTGCGAGAAATTATTGAAACAAACCCAAAATTAAGGGTTTCCATAGTCACCAGGCTGCTTGACACGTTCTACCAGATTCGAGCTGCACGGGTTTGTTCTTGCGCTCTTTGGATTATTGGAGAATACTGCTTGTCCCTTTCTGAAGTCGAGAGCGGCATTGCAACCATTAAGCAGTGTCTTGGGGACTTACCCTTTTACTCTATTTCTGAAGAAGGGGATGCTGCTGATCCAGCAAAGAAATCTCAGCAGGTAACTTCCATCACCGTTTCATCCAGACGACCAGCTATCCTTGCTGATGGGACGTATGCCACTCAAAGTGCTGCTTCTGAAACTGCTTTCTCCCCTCCAACTGTTGTCCAAGGATCATTAACTACTGGAAATCTGAGATCTCTCCTCCTCACTGGTGATTTTTTCCTTGGGGCTGTGATTGCCTGCACACTGACAAAGCTTGTGCTGAGACTGGAAGAGGTTCAGCCTTCCAGGGTTGAAGTCAATAAAGCATCTACAAATGTACTGTTGATCATGGTTTCAATGCTACAGCTAGGGCAGTCTTCGGTTCTTCCTCATCCAATTGATAATGATTCTTATGATAGGATAGTTCTTTGCATAAGACTGCTGTGTAACACAGGGGATGAGGTCAGGAAGATATGGTTGAAGTCTTGCCGTGAGAGTTTTGTTAAGATGCTTTCTGATAAACAGCTACGCGAAACAGAGGAAATTAAAGCAAAAGCTCAGATTTCCCATTCACAGCCAGATGATCTGATTGACTTCTACCACTTGAAGAGTAGAAGGGTAAGCATTTTGCATTTGATTCTAATTGTGCTTTTGAAGAATGCAATTAGTTCAATTGCTTTGCTATCTTCATCAGATTTTCTCTCAATTTTGAGCACTTTATAGTTGTATACAGGGTTAGGTGATCTTGTTATACCTTTAGTAGATTCTTGATGAGAAAGTATTGCCTATTTTCAACTTTTTCTTTGTTAAGCCAAGTTTGCCCTAATGTCAAATGTTTGTGGCTT